GTGATCGCAATGTCGAGCGCACCGGAGCCGCCGCTCGCAATGATAATGTCGTCTTTCGTCAGCGGGTGCGTGACCGGGTGGCCGTACGCGGTCGCGATCGCCGCGCGCGCAGCCTCGGTACCCGCCGAGTGGATGTACCCGTTGTGCTTGACCGAGCGCACGTTGGCGACGACGGCTTCCGTGAGCACGTCCGGGCAGTTGAGGTTGCCAAAGACGGTCGGGTCGCCGAGCGAGAGGCGAATGAGCTCCTTGTCCGAGTGCGCGGGCATCTTGATGTTGTCGACGATCTTGCGGATCGGGTTGGACGTGTTGGCCGCGAGGTGCGACGGCGCCATGCGCGTCCAGCTGCCCTTGGTCGTCGTCGTCTTGGTCGTCATCTGCGCGCTGTGCGAACGATCGTAGAATGGCATCTTAGGCCAAGGGCCGCGCCGTATTTGTAAACACGCGCGCGGTTTGTAAACTGACGGCGGCGCTTGAAGTTTCGAATTGTAGATCCATCATCACCAGGTTGCACTTTCGGGACGTGAAAATCATTCGTTTAGCTTGATATTTGTATGGACGTGGGATTTTGGTGGCGAGTGAGAAACGGTGTGGATACGCGCACGCCATTTTACCCGGCGTTGGGAGAGATTTTGGGACGCCATCTTGCGCGCTCGCTGGACCCGCTGCCCCACTGTGCTTGCATGCCTACTGTTACGGCGCACCAACAATGCAGTGGTATTGACTATGATTTGCATCACGTTTATAAGGCATCAGGATAGCATCCTTGCGATAGAAGAGAGATAAAGGATCAATGTAATAATGATGCGGGTATATCCCACCCATCGACGTGCGTCCACCGTATACAGCAGGTTTACGGGCGAAACCATGGGCCATCCGAGGCGTCCATGTATCGACACCGTCGCGTGAGTGGTCGAGGGCGGTTCGTTACGCTTGGGGTGATGACCAATAATGGAGTCACTATCGGCAGCGTCCACCAGCACCGTCGGAGCATCCAGATCGGTTTTGAGCGCCTCCGATTGGCTTTCACGTGCGCTGCAATTGATGCTACCGATGGGGCAGCAGGAATGCAATGGAGCGGGCTGCCGGTAATCGTCCCGAGTTGCGCAAGGCAATTAGGTGGCGTTGGTTTAGCCGTGTGAAAAAGACCGTTTTTTTACTCGTCGCTTTGGCCACATCCGGATACGGAACACTCGCACGTGGCACGTGGTGACGCATTCGATCTGGCGCCAACGACCGAGCGCCTTCGATGCATGCACTTGGAAAGGGTGTCCCACGCCATGACACGAAGGCCTTCGCCATGCCGGTGTCATTCACCATACCGAGGACGCTCGGGATCGAGGCGCCAAGTCGAGCTGCGCTGGACCTAAAGCTACTGGGGTCTGGCAGCAATCAAGTGGCACCGGGCTGCAATGCAGTGCGGCCTTGAACGCCGAGGTAGAAACGAGGTCCATGGCGGTCCACATGACGTCTTGCAAGCAATGTCTTGAGATGTTTGTGCATTCCACACTCGAGCGTTCACTTGACGGGACGTCACCATCCCAAGTTGGGATGGTGTCATCCCTTGGTATTCCCAAGGCGACTCCACGTACCAGTTTCTTGCGTCTTGAACTTTAGCGAGGGCGATTCGTTCGATATTAGAACATGGGCGTGCTTCTTCGATCGCGTAACTACTGAATCCGCCACGATGGACGCCATGTGCAGCAAGCACTCGCGGGGGCGGCGCGTCGCCCTCAGTGTCTTCATCGGTCTCACGCTTCTCGTCGGGCTGCTCCTCGTCCTCGTGCTCTCCAACGTCTTTGCCGTGCCGGGCGACACCCGTGACAGCTACATCGAGATTTGCATTCAAATACTCAACGCGACGCTGACCTTGGCCGCGCTCATGGTGCACCCCTCGCGCTTGGTCACGCTGCTGCGGCTCCTCATGTATTCGTCGTCGAGCGACATGCGCGCCGAAGCGAGGATCCAAGCGGCGTTCCCGTCGCTCCCCGTCGAGTTTATGGACCAAGAGAACCCGCAGGGCATCAACGTCCCGATGCGCAAGCTCGCGTGCCTCATGGCGGTGCTCAACCTCCAGTGCTTTCTGCAGTACCCGATCACGGCCGTCGTGTGGTTTTACCCGTTCAGCGAACGCCCGTACTTTGTCATTGCGCTCGCCCTCGCCTTATCATGCACGTGCACGATCGGCGCCGCCGTGTGGGAGCACCGTATGCACCGCAGCACCGTCCGATACCGAGCCAAGCGCGCCGAGAGTGCGATCGAGCGCTTCTTGGTTGAAGATACGTCGATATAATCACAAAATTGGCACAGCTTGTCTTGTCGATGTTGCGGCATCGTTATCGCATGCACAGACCTTCGACGACCCCAAAGCTTCGTTTGCACTCTTGGATCGACGCGTACAGCAAGCCGTGACGGACGATGATTGCCGATGCCTTTGGGGGCTAACGCAAGAGTGAGGAGGTATTACGGAGCCCGTCGTCGTAGTGCCGCAATTCTTGTCAGGGGGTACACTACGTGATTCAAGCTATGTTTTTGGCACGGAAATGAAACGGAGGCCGCCGCTACTTGGCCCTTCGCGCTTTTTCGATTTCTTCCCAGTAGTCCCGCACAGTCAAACCGGAGCTCGGGTTGGGAGACCAATCAAGTGTGTTGAAGCGTACTAGTACAGACACTGTTGGATCATGGATTCGTTGACTAGGAATTGCAGGGCAGGGCCTTACTTGTGCTGGCAAGTCGTATATCTCTTGCAGTTTGCAGAAAGGACTTTGCGAACGTCGGCGGACTTTCGTTGCCCACGACTGACGGAGGCTTGTAGCCGTTGTTCCGCTGATCGCTGGTCACACCCGTGCATTTCTGTACTTTTGCAGTCCACAAGTTGTATGACAGAACGCTTGGTGCGTTGTTGACTCGACGTCGTCGGATCGTACGCGCCATCGCGCCGCCCTGTCTGGACTAGAACCACACATTACTTGTAGAGGGTCATTGACGTCTCGGCTACTCACACCACACGAGAATCCCAAAGATGAGACAATATCTTCCATACTGGCTAATAGACCATCTATCGTCGTCGTCGTCGTCGTCGATCGACGGCGTCCAGTGGCTGTCGACACTGGACGCACGTGGCGTGCCGTGTTGAAGTGTGCTGGCACCGAGTTATAATATAGATATTTAAATAATAGCTTGTTGTTTGTATGCTTTGCGCGCAATTTAATAAAAGCCCATCATTCGTTCCGTGCAACACCGCCGTCACGATACACTAGATGCACGCAACTGACGTTCAGTTTGGTCGCTGGCCACGGTCCCCTGCGGCCTCGTAAGCTCCGTGCGCAGGGAGCATGCTGCCAAGAGGGCAATCAACGGGATGCAACGCAGGATGCGTTGCCAACGGTGCGATTACGCTAGGTTGTGGAGGGCGGACTGGGCTAAAGGATGGTGCGAATAGACGTGGGAAAAACCCAAGTGGTCGCGTGGGTTATTTTGCGATGGCGTCGGGCGCAGCGCAGTTCGTCGTCGAACCCGCGGACGAGGCCGAGGCCACACAGCTCAAGTGGATCGGTCTCGCCATTGTCGTCGGCTCCGCGATCCTCTCCAACCTCGGCGTCAACGTGCAGAAGCTCTCGCACGTCGGCGAGGAAGGGCGACCGCTCTTCGAGCGCCGGACGTACTACACGCGGCCGCTCTGGATCACGGGCATGGTGCTCGTCATTCTCGGCTCGATCGGCGACTTTGAAGCGCTGGCGTTCGCGCCGCAAGCGCTCGTCGCGGCCGTCGGCGGTGGCTGCACGGTCCTCGCCAACGTCTTCTTTGCGCACCTCTGGCTCGGCCAGCGCCTCACGTGGTACGACACGTCGGGCACCTTCTTCATCATCGTCGGCGTCGTCTTGAGCACGCTTGGGAACCAGCCGGACGCGCAGCTGACGCTGAACGAGCTCGAGGCGCAATTTTGCGGCCTCGAATTCCTCGTCTACTTCACCTTTATGGTACATGCCATCTCTGCGTCCATGGCGAGGCAGCTCAGCGTGCTGTGTAGTGCATCATGCTCTTCTGCATCTTTGGCGAAATCCGGTCCATTGGCCGCAACCAGCGCAAGACGCACGAGTATCTCTACCGGCGCCTGCCCTACTTGTACGCGACCGCGTCTGGCATCTTTGGGTCCTTCTCTGTGCTCCTCGCCAAGGTAGACATCCTCGCTTTTTCCATGTCTCGGGATCCATGTGGCGCCAATATTAGTGTGCGTCGATGCTCCTTCTGCTCACGTTCCAGGGCCAAAACCAGTTCGTGTACCCCACAACGTACCTCTTCGTCGGCGGTACGCGCAGCAATATGTTGAAAATGCTCCTACTCGACTAGGAATGGTGGTGACCCTCGTGCTGCAGACCGATCTGCTCAACCGCGCCATCATGTCGGGCGACACGCTCTCAGTCTTTCCCGTCTTCCAGTGCTTTTGGATTGGGGTACGGTGTGCAGTGTAGGCAGACCGAGGTTGATCGCGTCCTTCTTAGTCGAGCGTCGTGGGCGGCATTGTGTTTTACCGCAAGTTTTATGACTTTCACCTCTTTGAGTGGATTTGCCTCCCGTCCGCCTTGGGCCGTACGTCGCTGATTGCCCTCGTCGCCAGGGTTGGACGCATGGTTTAACGTTTTACCTAGTGATCCTCATTGGCATCTACCTTCTCACGCAGCACGCGAGCGACGACGCCGAGTACGCGTCCATCATGACGTCCGGACGGTTCGGGTCGCTCATGCCGCTGTCGCCGGCGTCCGGCTCGACCATGGGTACGGGCGCCGACCGCCCGATCTTTGGCATGGGATCCTTTCGAAGCAACTCGGTAGGCTACGGCACGCTGACGTCCAAGAAGGACATTAAACTCGGTGCGTCGGACCGCCAAAGCGCCGTCTAAACTAACGCTCTACACCTACTACGAACTCGCAAATTTTCTGCTCGTTGGCAACTTTGTCGTGGTATCAGAATTGGGGCATAAATAGGCTACAGTGCTAGGGCTACGCGGTGCGCGTGCTCATCGGCGGCGTCTCGTCGTTCGGCGCGCGCGGCAGCATCAGCGAGAGCATGCGAAGGAGTGGCGACATGACCACGTCGCTCACATCAATGGGAACTGCCTGTGCCCGCTCCCACCAGACGATCGACTGCAAGAGCGGCGAGACAACGTAGTCGTGCAGTAGGCGCGGCTTGGCGTCGGCGAGCGCGAGGCCATACACGGCCATCGGCGGCGGGTCGTAGTACTCGGTGAGGAGCGCGTCGCGGGTCGTGGCGTGCAGCGGGAGGCCGAGCGCCGTAGGCGAAGCAAAGGCTTGCATCCACGTGGAGGGCTGGCGCGCCTGCTGGAGGACGCGGAGGCCGATGAAGGCTACGAGGCAGAGGAGCGTCCAGGCCAAGGACGCCACGGACGGGCCCAGGAGGAGGAGGTCGGTCGCCATGCGCGTTGGAAAATCCAAAATGCACGTTCGCGGGCGGCAGCTATTTTCGCCAACGCGTTTTGATTGGCGGCGACGGTACGACCTCACCGATGATTGGTTCAAATGCGCGCTGAATGTTGAAGGCACGGGTTGAAGCGAGATTCGACGTCTGGGTACGTGGCCAGTGCGAGAGATGCGCCTGCACTGCGCTGTTTATGGCCGACGAATTGTCTAGAACAAGTACAGCGCTCGTCCCTTGGCAGTATACAACGAATCGCCGATGGCAACCGCGGCTACCGGTGGCGGTTGGACGCCGTTGCAACTTGGCTCTTCCATCAAGCAGCATGGTGGTGAGGCAAGGTTGTCGGCATCTCCGGATGTATCCCGCCTCTGCATTGCTCTCTACGCTGATAGCTAATTGGACTGATAGATGCTCCAAGATATTACTAGTGGTCTATACATAATAGAACGCTGACTAGGGCAAAATTTGCACTCATCTCGCCACCATAGACATGTCGTCTCGCTTACGACGTGCAACGCGGTCGCCGGTACTATTTAATAACGCGGGAGGTTGGCCTGCGAGCTCGTGTCCAGCTCTAGCTTATGGCGTCAAGCGGAGGTGTCGCGAGCGCGGCTCGCTACTAATGGGCATGTAGCGGCCACGTGGAGTGCCAAGATTTGCAACGACCCTGGTCATGACGTGGCGCCCTGACAGCCTTCCGACCTTTGCGTGGTCTGGCAAGCCCGACTCGTTGCCGACTTTCTCACACTGATGAGAAGAGGTGTGTTTACACTCAACGTAGCTCCGAATCCGAGCACGTGGTTCGTCCAAGTCAAGCTCCATTTGTTGCCGCTACTAGGGGCGACAAGGCAGGGTACGGTTGCGCGCGTCGGACTCCATGTATGACCATGTCGTGGATAGGGCACGATACGAAGATGATTATAATAAGTACTCTAGCGTTAGGTGTCTATCTATCTCTCGACGATGTACTTGAATATGGCAATCTGTGCACCTGGTCCGAGCTTGTCATTGCGCTTGCGCCTCGCTCTTGTTTTTACCCAAAGAAGGTCAGAAGCGACGACGCAAAGATCAAAAAGAGGGAGTTGCCCACGACGTCTTGGATCGCCGTCTCCATGGGTCCTACAACATACATGGGTGCGTCGCCTCGAACTCGTCTCTACCTGCGATCGTCGCCGGGTCGTAGTTGAAGTATTTCCCGACAAGCGGCGCCGCCGAGCCCGTGATCGATGCGGTCAAGATCGAGGCAAACTGCGAGACGCCGACGACGACGCCAAACACAACCCACTGCTGCCAGAGGCCCGCAATGACGCCCGTGACGAGGCCCAGCGCGAGCCCCAGGAGCAGCGCCGCCTCGAGCTCGCGGCGCAGCGCGTCGGCCGCGTCATCAAGTGACACGAGACCGAGGGCGAGCGCGCGCGTGACGATGCTCGACGACTGCAAGCCGACGTTGCCAGAGACGGCCGAGATGACGGGCATAAAGGCCATGAGCAGCGGAAACGTCTGCAGCGTGTGCGTATAGCGCGAGATCACGAACGCGACAAAGAGCTCAATGCTGAGCGTCAAGAGGAGCGCAAAGAGCCGTCGGTACGCGCGCTCGGGCGCGGCCATGCGCTGCATCAAGTACGCGTCCGAGGCTGGATCCAGGTTATCGCCTCTCTTTACATCGTCGCCGTCGTCGAGGGCCACGAAGGGACAGTGGGGCCTACATGCGCGCCAACGAGATGAGGACAAAATGGCAACACGCAGTGGCGTACGGCCATGCTCCCATGCTAGCGCCGCTGGAATTTCGAACGGCCATCCAACACGATCCAAAATATCGAAGTCTCAGGCAGTCGTTCCGTGGAACAGGCGGCGGGACCACCGCGTCGGACGGCCATGGCCATGGCGCATGGTACGTCTCGGCAGTATAGTCTCGTAGCGGTAGCCAAAGCGATGAAGAGGTCACGATCCTGGTGGCGAGCATCTCTCGCCGACGCCAGCATGCGCGGCTCGTACCGGCGAGACGGCGGGTGCAGGTAGCAATCCCGGCAAGCCCGTTGACCTCGCCATGGTCAGTGGTCGTAACGCACAGGGAGGCACCGCCGTCACACGTCGTCACGCGCCAGCAATGGGCACGGTCGTGCGAGAGCAGGATCGGCGGTGTGTTCTGGATATCGTCGGAGATGCGACTTGCTGGCCATTTCCATTTTGGAACCGCCTCGACCATGCTTCTACTAGTCGTATCGCTTCTCGTCCTTGTCGTCGCGGGCTCGTCGGCGGCGAATCTACCGAACGCGACCGAGATGGCGACCGTCGTGGCTGCCACCCCCGCCGTCGCTCCGACCGCCGAGGTGCTGAGCTCGAACGCTGTCGCGCTCGCATTGACGGTCGCCGTCGCCGGCGCCGCGCTGCTTCTCGTGCTCCTCGCCCAGCGCAAGCGCCGACAGGCGGCCAATGCGGCCACCTCGATCCTCGTCACCAAGACGCCCGCGCATTCGATTTGGATTTTGTAGTTTTTTAAAAAATAATTGCAGTGTCGTGACGTGGCACGCTCCTCGCTCGCGTTGCCTTTCGGAGCAGAGCGATATTACCACCAAGGCACCTCGCCGTGTCTGTGAGGCGTACAGAGCGAGCGAATATGCAATAACAAATAGGTATCTTTGCTTATAATGAGGTTTGAGCATTCGACGCGGCCATGCCTTCTGGCCGCATGTTGTACTTGTCCAAGAACGACGAGAGCTTCTGCGTCGATTGGGGCGGTGGCATGGGCGCGGCCACGGGCGCGGCCTTCCCGTGCTCGACCCACGCCTGCACGAGCGACGGGTCCGTCATCTGCCACACCTCGGCCGCGTTGTTGGCGAAATGCGCTTCTTGCGCCACGGGCTGCGGCGCGCGCGGCGGCTTCATGAGTGGCGCTTTTGGCGGCTGCGCGGGCGCAAACTTGCGCGGCTTCATCCCTCCAGTCGAGACGGGCGGTGGTAGCGTAAATTCTGGTTGCTTGGCCTCGGGCTCCAGTCGGGCGATCGCTGGCTTGCTTTGCGGCGCGATCGTCGGTTCTGGCACACGTGCTTGGTGTTGCACGGGCGCTTGGTGTTGCACTGGCGGCGGCACGGACTGTCGCACGGGCGTCGGCTCACTGCGCGGCGGCGCCGCAACGGGCGCGCGGACCGGCTTGGGCTCCGACACGGGCGCACGCGTGACGCTCGTATCCATCGATGGGCGACCGGCAAGGGGGGCGTCGATCGAGTGGCGCGGCGCGATCGGCTTGGGCTTGTTGAGCACGCTGCACACGGCGCTGATCCAAGCATCGGCGTCGGCAGCCGACTCGGCGGCGACGGGCAAAAGACGGCCGTTCGTAAATACAAACGCAAACGACGTCGGGCGCTCGGAGGGCTGGATGTCGGCGAGGCGACCGCGGCCAATCTCGGCGCCGCCAATGCGATCGTAGTTGCTCAGATCGGCCCCCGTGAGCACAAAGTACCATTTCTTGGGCCCCTTGGCGTCCATACCAAGCCAGCCGGCGTGCGTCGCGGGCAAGCGGTCCATGGACGGCCGCGGCTTGGGCTCGGGGCGCAGCGCCGCGCTCATGGCGTTGAGGCAGCCCGTGACCTCTTCGCTCGTCTTTGTGTAGATGCGTGTGTGCTTGCCGTCGGCGCCCGTGATGGTCAAACCGTTCTTGACGTCCGTGCTGCGGGCGACGGCCGTCAGCGTCGCCTTGGCCTTCTCCTTCGCGCGCGGGTTGCTCGCTTCTCTGTCGAGGTACACAAGCTGGCGCCCGTGCACGACGAGGTACACCTTCTTCCAGCTCGGGAAGAGCCCACCATGCTTGTGCACCCAGCCTTCCCACGTCGTCGTCGCCATGCTCGTCGAATGCGGCGAAACTCGAAATGGCCATCAGGAGACAGTGCTGTGTGTAGTTTATGTTTTAAACACACGTAGTAACGGTGCCAATGGTTGTGATTGGCCAAAATGTGATTTTTTCCTTGGCCAGATTACGACATCCATGAACCCCAAATTATTATTTGTACCAGCGTGTGTCCAACGCTAGTGTACACTCGCCTCCGTGGCCACGACACAAGTCGCTTGACGGGTATCTAGATGCTACACTATGAGCTGTCTACGCGCTCGTAGTGTACATGCAATGTCGCTGTTTTAGTAAAAAAGACTATGGAACTTGCATCCCATCCCATTCTGAGCACGATCAAGTGATCTTGAACAACCCTACAATCTTGAGCGTCAGGGATCGCTGACTCGCTGTCGTCAAGATCGTTTCCCGTGGCACGTTGCAGGCGATTGTCAAAGACATATTTTGCGGTGGCACACAAATTCACAATCTTTCGATCCATCATTTTTGGCGTCGAACGATCTTCCGTGGATTATCCTAGAACGCCTGCGCAAATTTCGCGCATATTTCGACAATCGAATATGGTTGTGGGCAATCCACTCGACTTCTCGAGATATCTACCTCGCTGTACATCTATCTACCTACGTCTCCTTGGCTGCACGTAGTCGGGTTGCCCACTTGGACATGCTCGATCGCGGACTCTCTTGGTTGCGCTTCGAAACTGGGACTTGGTTTCGTGTTTAAAACACGAAATTCGGTCTGTACAAAACACAGCGGGCCTCTACCGCTTGCGTCTTTCTGCAGCCGATTGTGAGATTGTGTTGTGGCAACACAATCCGTCGTGCTTGTCGAGACATTTGTCAACCGCACATGTGCAGTGCCATGAACCTTTCTCCCATCAACCTCGCGATTCCTCAATTGTCGATCGAGCCAAGGTGTCGAAGGTTTGGTCCTTCGACGACCAACATTCACGGGCCAGTCATCACGGAGCAACGCGACTCGGGTTGCTACGACCAGACAAACTGTCTACTAAGTCCCGTATTTTGCATACACTCTTTGGGATATCAGCGATTGAATGGATACGCTTGACGAACTTTATATGTCGACAACTATTAATAATACGATGGCGGTTCGCAGACGCTGCGATGTACTAACTAAGTCCTGTGTCCCATCGCCCCAAGTGCAGCGTGCAAGGAGGACATACTAACAGGGTGTCGTAATGGCAGCTATTTAATAATCGGATCAACCGTTCTTTGCACCTCGCTTCCCAAGACACTGTGTCAAAGGTTACACGACAAAATCGAGGGACGTGTGGCGCGCCAAGAGAGCGATTCAACATCGCTTTCAGCGCTTCCATCATTGACGCAGCGCCACAGTTTGAGTCTTCGAAGAGTCTTAAAGCACTGCACAGCGACTATTGCGAAGTTATTTTCCAAGAAAGAGCGGGCAGGAAGAGCTACCGCGTCGACTAAAAGCGGCAATACGTGACTATATATGGTATGTACCACATATAAATACTGCAAACGGTGCAGCTCCCACTGTACGCTTCGAACGCCGACGCGACGCCGCCTTACGTGCTCTACACATGATAGTTTGTCATCATGCCAAGTCCGAGCGATTTCATTTTGGAATGTGTTTCAGTCGACAGCGTCGGCTCGCATCGGCACGCCCACGTTGGCGTGGCCATGATTGGTGGAAAATAGAGAAAATTGGCCAATAGCAAAGCGGAACACGAGATTCCACTGCCTCTTGGATGCTGCGCAGCGCCAAAACACACTTCAGAATGAAATCGCTCAAAATTGACGCAACGATAGCAGGACCTTCGAGGTTCTAGAATGCTGAGCTACGTCGGCGTTCGAGGCGTAGAGCAGAGTCTAGTCGTTGCCCAAGTTTATTTGTGGCATATGCCAAAATGTGAACATGTAGACGTATTTAGATGGGCGTCTTCGATGAAAGGTGCTTGTCAACCTTGTTGCGTTGCGTTTCAAAACTACCCCGACCTGGGACGTTGATACGTGGGAGGGTCAAGGCATTCTGCGCCGCGTAGGCCGTCCACTCATACAAATGGTGAGCCTCGATCGCCCTGCTCGACCGAAGAAGAGCTTAAACTTCACGCAGTAAACACACCCGGCTAGCTATGCCGCTTTACTCGGAACGCCGATTTGGCCTGGTACATTGGGCGCCCCTGAGTGACACGAATATACCAGCACCTACCAAAGATGAGCGATTTCACTCTGAACTGATGTTTGGCCTGTCTGCACTGCCTCCTACCGGGTGCCAAATTAAACGATCTTTTGCGTACTTGGTACTGGTTCTGCCTCTATATACAGCGATAGCTAAACAATTATGAAATACGATGGTTGTATGTGCTACATACAAGCGTGAAGGATCGCTCTGCAACTTCATCAAACGCATCTTCGCGCCAAAATGCCGCTGCACGTATCCGGCAGTTTTCCGGATCGTAGGCAGGCTTTCCGGTTGAAGGTACCATTTCCGGATAACGAGCCAAGACAGCAGCATTTCCAAATTGGACCAAGCCGCGAGAATGGGACGCTATACCACGGACCTGGCGAGTCCGGCCTTTGACGGGCCCAAGACGCGACGCGCGTGCATGTCGCCCGTGTCCTCCGACGATGAAGATGGCGACCGCTTTGACTTTGAGCCGCGCAAGCGAGCGCGCTCGGCCAAGCCGCCGGCCAAGGTACCCGCGACCTGCACCTTGCCTTGCCTATGTACCTTGATGCGTAGCGGGCCAAGACGACGAAGCGGTCAGCCGCCAAGAAGACCAAGGATGCGCCAGCGCCTTTCGTCGCGTACCTCGTCGAGTCGCTCAAGGAGAGCGTCCAGGCCAAGCTGAGCTTTGCTTTTGGCTTTGGCCTTGGCTCGATCATCCCGCTGCCGACCGGCGACGAGTGGACCGACGACAAGACCAAGCAGCTTGCCGAGTGGCTTGAATCGCTTGGGTTCACGGCGCACAAGAGCACGAACGTATATCGGATCTCGAACAAGCAGGCTGCGACCTTGTTGAAGTCGTTGCAGCCGACGGTCCAGCCCCACGCCATGTACTGCGTCATCTCCCGGTATGCATCTTCCATGACCCACCGTCTCTAGGAGCGAGTCGACCAAGGCGTACATCAACAACTTTGCACTGCCGCTCGACGAATCGCTCGAGTTTGTCACTGCGCCAATTGCACCGACGCCGATTGCCCCGACGCCCGCTGGACCGTCGCCCCTGGCCGTGCGTCCATCTCTGACAGTAACGTCGAACCCGCGTTTGCATTGGGGCACGTCGCCCATCTTGCCCGCGCGACTCGGTCGCCACCGCCTCAGCGTCGATCCGAGTCCGATCACCAAGATCTCGCCGCAGCTCGACGAGCACTCGCTGGACGTATCGTTTGAAGTCGACGATGACGACGAGAGCGAGGTTGTCGTCGCCAAGCGCATTAGCTTTGGCGCGTTTACGGCCAAGCACGCCAAGCCCGCTCCGGTCGCCGGCGGCGCCATCTCGCCGATCCGAGAAGAAACCAGCAGCACCGACACATCGCTGCATGCGGCTCTGTCGCGCTCGCACCTCCACGATGACGCCAACGTCTCGTTCTCGCTCCTCAACCTCTCGCGGGACCAAATGGCGTTTGTGCAGACGAAGCGCCAGCGCAACCACCAGCGCCGCTTGTCGTTCTTTGAGCACGCCCCTCGGCGGTCATCGTTCTTTGTGCCATCGACGGTCGTGTGCACGCCAACGGTCTTGCCGGACGGCGTCGCAACACTCGTCTTGTCGTCGGGCTTTCTCAACATGACGCATGAGGTCGCGAGCGTCAGCAAGCACTGGCACCACACGTGCTCAGCGTACGACCGACTCTTGCTGTCGACTGTGTGATGCAAGACGTTCGTAGGGTGCGCGCATGGACCCGAGCCGACTACAAGGCGTACGCACGCTCTTCTGGACGGCGTGCGTGCTTACCACTGGAATAGGCTACCGCTGGTGGAGGGTTCGTTGACGGAAGCGTACCCGCGCGGCCAGTTCCTTGCCGACGGCGCCTACAAGCGCGTGTACAAGGTAGCACTTGCTGCTGTGATGTATCCATGTTGGAATGTACTTTATCCATATGTATAGGTCCATGCATCGGCGGCCAACCGGGAAGAAGCCATGAGCGTCATGGACGTGCGCGCGATCGAGGAGTTGGGAAACGAAGTACGTTGGTGTCGGTCTCTTTCCCAGTGTTGAACCATTCTTTAGCACATTGTCCAGCAAGAGATTGCAACGTCGCTGCTCGTGTCGGACCTCGTCGCGGCCAACGTGTGCCCCAACTTTGTCCGCGTGCACCAAGTACTGCTTGCCAATGCGGCCGCGCCTGCTGTCTGGGGCGGTCCGCCGGTGCGTCTTTGCGGCTTGTGAGCCATCTCCTGTTGACGTGTGGTCGTGTAGCCGACGACGGAAGCCAATGGTCGGTTCCTCTACACCTGCATGGAGCTCTGCGATGGCGGCAACGTCGAGGACTACCTTCGCACCCACGGGTCCCTTGACGCGCACGACGTGGTCGCCTACTTTTTTCAAATGTGCTTTGCGCTCTACACGGGCCGGGCGACGCTTGGGCTCCGGCACTTTGACATCAAGGTGAGGATGCTATTGCAGGCAAATCAACCAATCGCATCGTAGTTGCTCAACTTTTTCCTCCAATCCCACGACGCGGGGGTCGTCGCGTACGAGTTTGACGGCGCCACGTACACGCTCGCGGCCAGCGCGTGGGTCAAGCTCGCAGATTTCGGGTCGGCGACCACCGAAGAAGGCTCGCTGACAGCCCCCATTGGGGTTGAGCACGTACGTTCATTTTTCCTCGAGTTGTACAATGTACGATGGTCGATCTATGGACAGTGGACCACATATGAGAACGCGCCGATCGAGTTTTTCGTCGACGGCGACGACGCGCTCCAGGGGTATGCGGTCGATACGTTTGCTTTGGGCTTGTGCCTACTGCACCTCGCCACCGGCAGGTACTTGGCGAAGCATGGGTCTGATGGTCACTCACAACCTGCTGTAGTCTGCCCTACGAAGAGCTCTTGGCTGACGTTGTGTGCCCCAAAGGTCTCAAGGCGACCCTCCTCCGTCTCTGGAAGGTAGGACGTTTATGGTGCTATGTTCTTCGATTTCAATTTTTGGGGCTAGGTGAAACGTGCCAAGAAGGGTGCGCCGTCCTTCTCGATCCTTCAGAAAGTACTGCGGCGTGACGCCAGCCACAGCGACGTGCTCTGCGACACGTTGTATCGGTACTGCGTGCTCTTTGGCCTGGCGTCGCTCCAGAGTACGTCGGGTGTTGCGACCGCACTCCGATCGCAGCTGCTCGGAAAGACCAACGCACGCCGCCTGTCGCCCGACGCCAAGCAGTTTTGCGCCGACGTCGGCGCATATTCGCTCGCAACGGGATCCCACCCGGCAGTGGCGGCTGCCCGCGCCCGCCTCGTGGCCATCGACGGCCTCAATCTGCTTGAGTCACTCGTGGACTTTGCACCGGCGCGCCGCCCGAGCCTCAAGCGGGTGCTCGCCGCCGACATCTTTGCGACGCTCCGCGTAGCCACGACGACGACACCGGACGTATTGGTTGCCACGTACAAGACGGCGGTCGTCGACGTCTAAGGTCGTGATGGCATTTTGATAATTTGATACTTTGGTACATTGAAACAAGGTGCATCGGAGGATAAGGGCGCCCTTATCCTGCGAATGGTTGCCCTTGGAGCGAATTCAAATCGCTGGCGGGGCGTCGATAAGAGCGCGCGGAGGAGCACGCTCGCCACCGCCGGTGACAGAGCCGGTGACAGAGCTGGTGGCTGGACCACCGCATAGCGACGCAGCTTGGCCCGCCGATCGACGTGTTGTAGGCGCTCAACGGTCGGTCGCCCATCGTCTCGGGCTGTGCTATCTCGGGGTGCCTTGCCGTAAGCTGCACCCTTGGTGGTTGATGGGATATTGGAAAGCAATTGAGCAGAGTTCGTTCTAGCTAGGTACACCTAACCTGCTCCTTCTTCTAGCTGGAGTTGACTATGGTACACCATACTGTCTGGGAACGCGTATCGACTGGGAACGCGTATCGCACTGTGGCTTTCATTATGGGTGGCGGCCGCGCTTGTGTTGGGTGTCGTTGTACAGTCGCGGTACCGTAGCCAAGGTCGTTGTGCGTCGGTTGGTCGGGGTAGCTGTTCACGACATGCCTAGCGTTAGTGAAGTAGCGCCTGCGTCAAACAGCACAAAGCATCTTGGTACCTGTGCGCTCCGCCTCCTGCTTTTTTGTCTTGTCTCGGGACTTCTTCGGGGGCCGTTTTTTCTTCCCTCGCTTTCTTCCCTTGCACAAACGCATGTATCTTTCCGGATATTTGATGCGTTTCTAGAGAACAATTATCCTTCCCAAGATGGAAAATGTCAAAACGGGGTCAATGGAACCACAACGGGGTAGATTGCATAAAAATATGCAGACTTGGTGTTACTATGCTGTGGCACGTATGGCACGCGTCGGCGTCTTCCCATACCTCTCCTCCTACGCCTTTTTACCCGCAAAGAAGACCTCTACTACAATCCTCTACCCTACCGCAACACTTCATATCACCTGGATCTCCTCTTCCCTGCGACTACCTTGCCAAGCAGCCCCGAATGCCTGCTAGGAACTTAAGTGAACGGTTATTTTTCTATATATTCCTGTTTTGACGCAGCTTTTCCCAAACACCCCCCGTTTTGTCATTGTCTCGTCCAATCACCTGTCTTGCCCAACTGACGACTCGTGCCCCAACCGACTGGAACCCACTTCGGTTTTTCCACGCTGCGCACGAAGACGCTGGTCCTTGAGCCGCCACGGTCGAGTACTTCTGCGCCCGTTCGGGATCGACGGACCTCCCCCGATGGTATTGGACCTTCGGGACCATAGACCATCGTTACGGCTGGGCTGTCGTGACCGAGCTCGTAGTCATGACCACGACCGGGCCAAATGGCCAGTCTCTTTGTGCGTAGCTAGTGCCTGCCTCGACCACGCTTGCCACGCGCCGCACCCAGGTACCTCGACTTGCACATCTGTCTTGATTGATCTTTAGGGATGACTCTCCTTCAATTGCAGCCTCCGATCCAAGCCAACGCTGCGCGCTCGATCCAAGCCAACGCTGCGCGCTCGATGCGCGATTTAACTTGGTCGGCATACCGTGTGTTGTGTTATTTAGCATCGCAACTAGTGAGTTGGTTGCCACCATTTGCACGGTTAGAGATGGTGGGAAATGGACGGTAAGTGCTGACGACCTGCAGCACTCAGTCGTCGGGATGTCACGGTAGCGCGGGACCAGCTCCACCAACCGTGTGTGGACGGTCGAGGACCAGGTTGGCTTTGCGCCTGCGCGAACCGTGCCCAGTCACTCGACGCGCTCATCTCTCAGACCAACCGCCCAACGACTTGGTCGAGGCAGGTGCACGTTGCAATCAAGCCACGGGGCTTGGATGACGACAAACAGAGACGAGGTAGGCTCTGGATGATGCCATTGGTTGAAAAGCGATCTTTTTCACGTGATGCCATTGGCGCAAATCGAAGCAACATTTGGGCCAATCAAAAACAAGAATAGCACGCTGCCGTCAGCTTGAGAAAAGGTGCTCAACCAAGGTGCTCAACCAAGCAAGGATGTTGGACTTTTTGGCACCCCGTCCTCCAAGAGTCGTCGGCATCTTTTGGATGTCACGAGCTTTGCGCGGCGTGGGACAACCGTTCGATTTCGCGTTGGGATGCGGCACAACCGTTGGTAATCGTTGAAATTGCAACTGAGAATTCGGTTGACGTTCGCGCCAACGCATCCTGTCGACGCGTGATCCCATGGTCGCCTGATTGTGGCCAAGGTGACGTGGTCGTCCATGAACGGTGGAGCTCAAACATGCCTCAGTCTCGCAACAGAGTCCGATTTCATTGTTTTATCGTACCATTACAAGGCGAGGACGAACCAAATACCACAGAAGTCTTCGGTACAACCATTATCAACCATGCCTTGCCCATGGCCGCCGTCGGACTTGGTCGCTCGGTCGCGCCGAAGTCGGCTCTGTTCGACGTCGCCTTGCGTACACGTCCAAGCAGGTGGTTTGACATGTGATCACAGCCCACCACACGCCGCGTCAACGCAAAGATCGCGCCCCGTCCGAAAGGTCACGACGTGTTCACTCAATCAACGGCGATCGCTCATCGTCGGCGGCGCGCGCCATTCTGGTTGTCACTTTTGATTTTACCACCAACGACTCAACAACCATGACCTTTCCCACATTGAAGCTCACGTACTTCGACATGACTGGCCGCGCCGAGCTCGTGCGCCTGGCGCTGCACGCGGGTGGCATCCCGTTCGAGGACGAGCGCCTCACGCGCGAACAGTTTGGCGCGGTCAAGCCGACGCTGCCGTTCAAGCAGGTGCCGACGCTCACGGTCGACGGCGTCGTCATGGCCCAGTCGCATGCGATGGCGCGCTACGCCGGCCGCCTCTCGGGCCTCTACCCGACCGAAGCGCTCGAGGCGTTCCGTGTCGACGAGCTTCTCGCGGCCTCGGACGACACGCTCGCCAAGCTCATGCCGTCGTTCCGCGAACAAGACCCGGCCAAGCGTCTCGCACTCCGCGAAGAAGCCGCTGCGGGTCCGCTTCCGGAGCACTTTGCGTGCATCGAGGCGCGTCTGCCATTGACGGGCACGTACTTTCTCGGCGAGAAGCTCTCGATCGCGGACCTCGAGCTCTACGGCGCGCGCAAGATGATGGCGTCCGGCTGGCTCGACGGCATTCCGACGACGATC